TTTGAATTCAGTGTCCGAGGAGGTCACGTTGTACTTATATCCTGTATTTTTGTTTATTTGATCATTTTTGTGTACTTCTAGTATCTTTTACAAACATCACGAGTAAATATAACAAACTGTGCATCTAAACTTTTTCCTAAGTCTAATAAAAAGCATACGTTGTCATTGTTATGTTATTATGTCATTTGGTAAAGTTACACTTTAGGACGTAAATCTCAAAAATATTTAACACACTTTGAATTGTACCCTAAACATACACAAAACCTTGAGAGTTCTTATTTATTTTACACGGACCAAAACTAAATCAATTTCTACTACGAGAGAAGTTGTTTTGTAACTAATACAATTTACTGATTTACCATCTGTCCGTTTTCGTTAGACTGGGGTCCGAATGACGTCTCACTGATTAATACGCCAACAACACACTATATCCAAAAACACACGTACATTTGGGGGGGGGGTTGACTTTGCGGAGGTAACCTGAGGAAACAAAATTAAGACATTGTATCACCTGTAGTTTGAACGTGAAGGATAACCGATCGCGAGGCTGAGGCATGCACTATCCGATTCGGATCTGTGTCGTCTCGTCTGAACCGGAGACCAAAAGTCCGTCTCCCACTTTTCTCCAACGACGCGTGTCGTCAATTACTCTTTTTATTTCTCGAAAACGCCTTGTAACTTCGTAGCCTCTGTACAGTGTTCAACTCCGTTGTTATGATTATACTTTACTTATCCGCCTTATTCCAAGCGAATTACAACAAATAGGATTTACCTATAACAGTTTCGTACCTAACTTGTATTTGGTATTGTGTTCTATTGACTTCTGTCATAAACTTTTTTTTGTTGATTTTAACATAAGGAAGGGATCCCAGACCAGATAGCTCCCAAAGTAGAATCCAAAGTAATAGTTCCGGGACCCCCGTCAACACCGAACTGTAAGTCGAGAAGGGTTGCCGGAAGAAAAATTTGGGTCGGCATAGGTCCCAAAATTTTCCCAATCGGGACTGGTCGGACCCCGGAACGGGGTCCGGTGGAACCCCTCGGAGACTCCCGACAGACACCGGCGGGTCTAGCCTGTCGCAAGACCCCAAGGGTCCCGCCTTCCTCGACCGGGTGTTGGTCCAGGTACACGGGTATTCGGTAGACCATCCGGTGAGACCCCTGTACGGGTTCCGTCTCTGACAAAAAAACCTAACCCTCTACACCTTGTTTGAGAATGGTTACAATATCTACACTCTAGCTAATGTGCAAATGACAATAAATCCTTGAATCTTGAATTGAATCGTTTTTCTATTTGCCAACTCTATGGTTAATCTGTCGTTAATTTGAGGCTACTTAAAGTATTTGGTATGAAGAGGTTTGGTTAGACACAAAAAATCCTTGATTTTGTGAAAGGTAAAGATTGGAATAGTCCTAAAAAGTAAGACATTTTTTGTCAGACACCATCTTAGTCCTGTTTCTAAGTCACACAACAAACATTCGGAACTCATCACTGCCAGGCTCTGAAAAAAAAACACTGGGACAGTAATTTATCCAATAATCACATGAGATAACTTTTTCCGGAAAGAATCAGAAGAGGTTCTTTAAATTATGGCCAATACCTTTGTTTATCTATTTGTGGATAGTAACTTTTGGTAAGTTTGAGGTAAAAAACGTCTATGTTACTGTACATAAACTGTTTATAACCATTGTTTATCAGCATACTGTACCAATGACTTTACTTCAGTGTTGCTTGCTTCAAACTCAAATACCAATAAGACAATGTTCCTTTGTAACCTAGAAACCTGAAAAACCTTGATATAAAACAGTCTTACAGACTTGTCGTGATGTAAAAATAGCTAAATCAATGCTTACTCAATATCTGCTATTATTAAACTCCACTGCCGCAAAATGTAGGTCAAGCACATGTTGTTCGTTTTTAGAAAGAGGGCAAATAAATCGAGACATTTGAAACACAAGTCATTAATCAACATCATTCTTGAGAATTAACAATGGTTGGGTGTGATTTATTTTGCCGATAGGCAGCAGTGTAGACAGAGAGCACTGAGAGCCTCAGTTGCTCTCCGTCTCAACCTTTTCAGGGTGTAAGCCGAGATGCAACTTGTCAATACTCAGAGACGTCGGGGATAAATTCGGCCTTCCTCCAGGGATCTCCAACAGCCAAGTTTTTTCTTCTACCTCGCTGCTTTTCTGCGCCTCAGTCACAAGAACACTTCTTAAAATAGCCTCAAGAAAACCCAGATGGAAAAGACGAGTGCGTGATTGTAAATGCCAGGAGTTTGAGCCACGGCGACGTTGGGTTTTTCCATCTGTGAGGATATTATTTTGGGTCAGATGTGTATCTCTGCCATGTTGTCCGGTGAAGCGGCAAGGCCAGGCCACAAAGAGAGAGCATATGCCCGCCTCTTATTCTGCTGCCGCCCCTGACATGTGTTACTTCCTCCTCACTCAGCCCATCTGCTCTGCAGAGCCTTGTAGTTTACCATGAATGCCAGCCTACAGCAACAGTAGGGATGGGTGTCGTTAAGATTTGAACAGTAGCCTACTGCTACTCTTACATAAACTGTTTAACAATCCGGTACTTGAATAGTATTTTTATCGGTTCTTTTTGTTAGGTTTTATAAGGGAAAAACTAAACAAATTGGAAACATAATTGGCATTGCTTTTTTTAGTGTAGATTCTGGGCTGCTAGAACACATAACATACCTGCAGTAAGTAACAGCAAGTAGATTTACTCTTGTTTTTTTTGTATCCATCCGCGAGCACGACGCCATCGATTAACTAGTGGACAATGATCCCTCGCTCTACGCCTCCTGTACCTTTTCGCTCCGCTATCGCGTGAAGGGTCTGCTAACAAGCGACCAACAGAAAGGTTCATGTTAATGTTGTTAAAGCTCCCCCCTCGTGCCCAGCTACCACCAAAAGTATATTTTAGATCTGTGGGAAACACTTAATACTAGGGAAGCTCCGATCGATATCGGCCGATACTCACTCTCTGCCGATCGATCGGTGCTCTCTAAAAATGCCGATCGCGAGAGCCGATCGCATGACCTAAAATGTTGACGTAAAATACATTACACTTTTCTCTGTGCGCGGCAAAACAAGCTCGTCAAAATGGCTTCACCAGCCTGGCAGTATTTTAAGGTGTCAGAAAAAGACAATGTTTGTGAAGCAGAAATCCTTCAGCTCCACCCGCTGTGACGGACTGGTGAGCGGAGCGAAACACACACTAAGAGTTAGACCTAACACACTTAGCTAGTTTATCTACCTCTGGTCTGGAACAAGCTAAACTAGTTATAAATATATTTATTCTTCACTGTTGGGTCACTCATTAGTGGATCAGTGAGCTGCATGACACGATACTGACAGGCTGTCAGGAGAGAGAGAGAGAGGGAGAGAGGAAAAGAGAGTGCGTCCGCTCATTTCTCCCGTGTTATTATCCAAAGTTAATGTAAACTTGAATAATGTACTTCATTTGAATGTAATAATTATGTTGGTTGTTGTTTGTGGAAGCGCCAGTGAATGAGCACCATTAACTGAGTGTTAAACATCACTTTAAATGGAAGATCCCCATAGGCCCCGCCCACTCAAGCTGTTTGGACAGATTGCTTGTTTTACCGCGCAAAGGCGAATATGCTCATTGCTAACGAGCATTGATTGTCCACATTGAGCCTTGTAGAGTATCATTTGAGCGCTGCGTCCTCTCCGTCCCAAGCAGATCTTTGTGTGCAAGGCGCTGCAGCGTGAGTGAGATGCCCCGCCCCTCGCGCACAGACGAGAGAGAGAGAGAGAGAGAGATCCTCTTCTGGAGTAAAGAAAGCGGAAATAATGATTTTGCAAATAAAAAAACGTAGTTGGTTCTATAAATGTGCAAGATAACATTTTGTGTAGCAATAATAAATCTGAAACCTGTTTTGTATTTGTTTTACATTTTTCCAGTAACGAAAACAAAACCGATAAAGCTGGAGCTTAGTGATAACGCGGTCTTTAAAAAATGTAGCCCCTGGGCCCGTTTAATACCGGGTTTCGGTACCGATCCCTAAGCAACAGCATCCAGAAATGTATCAGTCTGCAGAGAGGAGACTTATCCAGGCTCATCAGAGAAACCTGTGTTAGAGAGAAGTATGAGTCTGGTTCAAATGAAGAACTGCTTGAAAATAATGTCCAGATACGAGCTATTTTCGCTTGTTGCTAATAGAAATACATTTGCGTTAAATATTCATAAGACCTTTTTTTTTTATATAAAATAAAACAAAAGCAGTTTGAGAGAATGAGTCCACCTGACTGTGATCATTATGATTAGACCCTCCAGAAAAACGCGAATTTACCGCATAATCAGCAAAATGGCGCATATTTTTAAAAGGCCGCATATTTATCAAAAGGCCGCATAATCCCCGCATTTTTCCACACAAAGTTGAGAGAAAAAAAAGTTAACTCATCTTCTTGACGTGAAGTAGTGATGATGATGACGTGACGTCATCAGCTCGCGCATCACAGAAGGTAAACAACACCATAGAGTGAACGTGTGGAACTCACACAACGAACATTTCTGCTAAAGACCGGGCAAAGCAGTACCCCGATGTTTTTCACGGAAGTGGGGGGAAACTATTCTGCACCCCGTGCAACTGTGTGTTGGAGCATACGTCTTAGAAAAAATCGACGGTGACGACCCACTTTGATTCATTCAAACATTCGAAAATGCTTTCTGCTGCTGCGGACAAGAAAGCCAAACAACTCACGTTCACCGAGGCATCAACACTCCCAAACCCTTTCCGAGCGGCTACGAAGAAACGAAGTGACGTAGCCTACAAGATTAAGCTGTCGAGATAACGAACGAGTAAATGAGAAACAGAATGAGGCGGAAGAAGTGTGTGGTGTGTGTGGTGTGTGTGTGTGTGTGTGGTGTGGTGTGTGTCGTGTGTGTGTGTGTGTGTGTGTGTGTGTTGTGTGTTGTGTGTGTGTGTGTGTGTGTGTGTGTGTGTGTGTGTGTGTGTGTGTGGAGAGAGTGTGATTAAAATATCCCCATGCTTTTACAAATAAATAAACATTGAAATGTGTTTAATTGGAATAGGAACAGGGGTTTAACGTTAGTGCAAGGTTGTGTGTGAGAGAGAATAAATAAGACAGCCCACTATTTAACAAAAAAATCTAGTATTTTGGCAACTTCCGCATACTTTCGCATAATCAATGATTTTTAACCCGATAATCAGGATTTAGCCCGCATAATCAAGGATTTTTGGCCCGCGTTTTTCTGGAGGGTCTAATTAGTAATGTTTGGCTGTGGGTTGGTTGCACCCACCAGGCTGAGTTACTCAGAGCCAAAAATCCGCACTGCAAGACATGCAAACATCTTTGTTAACATTTTGATCGAGGAAAAGGAAAGACTTTAAAAAAAAAAAATGTAAACCTCAAACAAACTTTCATAAACGGCCTTGAAATTTTTTGTCATTATGGCTTAAAAGTGCAGAAATTTCATTTTTCGACAGCAATAAGCTATTTCATAGCGTGCATCATCCGTACAAGTATACAAAGGATGGCCAGGACGTTGCAGTCAGGCTGTAGGATTTGGCGGTACCTCTTCTCCTTTTTTCTGTTTGCTTTGTCTATCTGTTTGTCTGTCTTCCTGGCTGGGCGTGTTTGACCTACTCTCTGTTTTCCACAAACTCACAACCTCCGCTCCTGTTTATCATCA